AAAGGACTTTGATTTTCTTTGATTTTTGCAGAGAAAATCAAAGAAAATCAAGGCCTCTTGCAACCGGAATAAAACGGAATACATGCATGAGGAGAAACACATGTTTTAGGTGCATCCGGAGCCAAAATCAAGGTCGGATGCACTTGGGAATTAACCATTTCTTTTTCTTTTTGAGTAGGGGCTAGTTGTGGGGCATTGGGGCTAAGGAATTAACCCTTATTGCAGTCCGAGTTGCAACGGACTGCATGGGGGAGAGAAAACACATGTTCTAGGTTCATCCGGAGCCAATATTGAGCCCGGATGCACTAGAAAATTTAATGCTTCATTTTTCTTTCAACATGGGGCAAGTTGTGGGGCTGTGGGTATGGAAAACAGCCATGACTGCAGTCCGAGAAATTATGGACTGCGTGGGGGATGCCAAGGCCAAAGGGGAATGGGCTACGGCAAGCCCGGAAGGCTAGAAAGGAGCAATTTCGGCAAGGGGCAAGTAAAGACGTTAAACGACAACCGTGAGATGAGATGTCACGGCCTAGAAAAATCGGCACACATGTAGAAATGATGGGACCACCAAGGGCAATGGGCCCCAAAGAAATAAAAACGGGACGCCGTCCGGAATGTTGTCGTGGACCAAATGAGTCCAAATAATAAAAATCGGGAAACGAGACGCGCGCCGGCGGGACCGCCGACAAGACAAAGAAATGGAGCTAGCATGTAGATAAATGACGGGGATTTGGGATGTCCCAAGGGAACCATGAGCAAACACAAGGAATAATTGTGCAAGCAAGCGGCACCGTCGAGATCGAGGATCAAGACGGTGAAAAATATTAGCACCACCAGTGCAACCACTAGCGGGAGCAAATAAGGGAGTCGTGCGAGAAAGAAAAGTGAAATAAGGGTGTTGGGAAGGCTGCCCAGCAGTCCGGGATATCTCGGACTAGCAAGGCATATGAAAATAGAGCCTTGAAGGCCCAACATAAGAAAAAGGCTGCCCTTAGAAAATCGGAGCAAAAGGGGCTCATAATTGGGCAAACGGGAGCAAAATGGAGCCGCCTGGGAGCATGGGGGTGCCATTATTGGGATCCGAGATATAACGGCCAAGTAGCAGCCATGAACATGGGCTTGAATGAGGCCCTAGGGCCTAGAAAGAGGGTGCACAACAGTTTGACACTTGCCACAACAGAAATAAAAGAAAAAGAAAGAAAAATGAGAGAA